AAAGTTGGAGGATCTGAAACGGAAAAATGAAACGTTGAAAAATTCCGAAGTTTTTTGGGAATGGAATCGATTTAATTGATTAAATTAATTTTATTTAATATGCGTAATTGATTCAGAGGATGAAAAAATTTAAGAAGCTGAAAAACGGAAAAAAGGAAAAAAAAATTGAAAAAATGTGAAGTGAAAAAATTAAAAATAAAACTGGAAATAATTGGATATCGAATTAATAACGACTTGAATAATTAGGAATTAGAAGAAAATTAAAGGTTTCGATAAAAGTTTTAATTTAAAAAGTCTGATTTAAAAACAAAACAAACCTGGCTCAAAAGTGTTGAAACGGAGGAAAATTGGAAAATTCAAAACTTCTCAAAAATTAATTGGAATGAATTAATTGCAGCGATTAAAAGGATTGAGAGTTATAAACGCAGTTTAGAAAATTTTAATGAAATTAATTAAAAAATTCTTTTTTTTTGATATTAACAAAGAAAAATTTGAATAATTCAAAACCGGGGAAAAGACCCCGAAATTTAAAAGTTTTTAACAAAAATTTCTCCGATTGAAAGGAAACCTTAATTAAAAAAAAAAAAAAAATAATTAAAATTAAAATATTTAAAAATGAAAAATTATTTTTTAAACCATAAAAATTTCCCCTCCCCAAACCCGGAAGTGACGCTTCCGAACCGGAAGTGGGCGTGGCCTAACCCGGAAGCGGGTGTGACTTAATCCGGAAGTGGGCGTGGCCTAACCCGGAAGTGACCGCGGGATATTCAGAATAAACCCCCGGGGCTTTAAACCGGAAGTGGTGGTGGTGGGCGGGGCTTGATGGAGGGGGGGCGTGGCTTGCTTGATGACGTCATTCTCCCAGCATCCCGCCGCTTCCGGCTCCGCCCCCCGAGGCTCTCCCGGAAGTTCCGGAAGCGCCGGCGATCGACCTCCGCAGGTGGGGCCCGGAAATGGGGAAAAACCGGGAATTTTTCAGGAATTCCAAGATTTTGGGGGGATTTTTTGGGAATTTTTCGGGGGATTTTTAACAATTTTTTGGGGGGGATTTTGAAGTTTTTTTTTTTTTGGGAATTCGAGGAATTTTTTGGGGCGGAGTTGGGGATTTTTTGGGAGGTTTTTGAGGAGGGATTTTCGGGAATTTTTTTGGGGGATTTTGGTGAATTTTTTTTCCTCTTGATTTTTTGTGGAATTTTTCCTGATTTGTTTTCTTTTTTCCTGAATTTTCCCTTTTTTTGCATTTTTTTCTGGTTTTTTTCGTTTTTATTTCCGAATTTTTCCTGAATTTTTCTTCTTTTTTTTTTCTTTTTCTTTTATAATTTTTTCCTGATTTTTTTTCCTGACTTTTTCCCAGTTTTCCCCATTTTTTTGCTGTTTTTTTTCCTGATTTTTTCCTGATTTTTTTCCTGATTTTTCCCATTTTTTTTCTGATTTTTTCCTAATTTTTCCCAGAATTTATTGGATTTTTTTCTTAATTTTTTCCCTGATTTTTTTTTAATTTTTTCGTTTGTTTTTCCTGAATTTTTCCTGAATTTTTCCTGAATTTTCCCAGATTTTTCTTGAATTTTCCTGATTTTTTCCTATTTTTTTTCCTTTTTTTAAAACTTCTTCCTGATTTTTTTTTTCCCTTTTTCCCAGTTTTTTCCTCATTTTTTTCCAAAATTTTTAAAATTTTTTTTTCTTTATTTTTTTCCTGATTTTTTCCTGATTTTTCCAGACTTTTTCCTGAACAATTCCTGAAATTTTTCCCACTTTTTCCCTTTTTTTTAATTTCCGGATTTTTCCTTTTCTTTTTTCCCAAATTTCGGGAAAATTTCCACTCAAATTTTCCACAATTCCAATAAAAACTTTCCCGAATTTTCGACTTTTCCCGGTAATTTCCCCCAGATTTTTTTTTCTCACTTTTTTCCCGATTTTTTCCCCCAAAAAATTCAATTCCACAAAAAACTCAAAAATTCCCAATAAAAATTCCCAATTATTTTTTTTATTAATTAATTTCCCCCTCCCCCACCCCAGGCTGATCCTTGACCACGCCCAACTTCCGGAAGGGGCGGAGCTTGCCGCCATCTTGGACCCGGCTTGGCCACGCCCACTCGTGGCGCGGGCCTTCGCGCTCTGCCTGGGTAAGCCCCGCCCCCTTTCCCTTAAGCCCCGCCCCTTTAAGCCACGCCCATTTCCTCCTGACCTGTCAATCACTTAAGCCCCGCCCCTTTAAGCCACGCCCATTTCCTCCTGACCTCTCAATCACTTAAGCCCCGCCCCTTCAAGCCACGCCCATTTTCTCCTGACCTGTCAATCAAGACCTGCCCCTTTAAACCCTTTAAGCCACGCCCATTTCCTCCTGACCTGTCAATCACTCAAGCCCCGCCCCTTTAAACCCTTTAAGCCACGCCCATTTTACCCTGACCTATCACTTAAGCCCCGCCCCTTTAAGCCACACCCATTTTACCCTGACCTGTCGATCACTCAAACCCCGCCCCTTTAAACCCTTTAAGCCACGCCCATTTCCTCCTGACCTGTCAATCACTCAAGCCCCGCCCCTTTAAACCCATGAAGCTCCGCCCCTTTCGCTCCACCCCTTTCAGCCCCGCCCTTTTTAACCCCTTTAAGCCCAACCCCCTTTAGGCCACGCCCCTTTAACTCCCGCCCATCAATCCCCGAAGCCCCGCCCCTTTAAACCCTTTAAGCCACGCCCATTTTACCCTGACCTATCACTTAAGCCCCGCCCCTTTAAGCCACACCCATTTTCTCCTGACCTGTCAATCACTTAAGCCCCGCCCCTTTAAACCCTTTAAGCCACGCCCATTTCCTCCTGACCTGTCAATCACTCAAGCCCCGCCCCTTTAAACCCTCTAAGCCCCACCCATTTTACCCTGACCTATCGATCACTCAAACCCGGCCCCTTTAAACCCTTTAAGCCACGCCCATTTCCTCCTGCCCTGTCAATCACTCAAGCCCCGCCCCTTTAAACCCTTGAAGCTCCGCCCCTTTCACTCCACCCCTTTTAGCCCCGCCCCTTTTAACCCCTTTAAACCCAACCCCCTTTAGGCCACGCCCCTTTAACTCCCGCCCATCAATCCCTGAAGCCCCGCCCCTTTTACCCTGACCTGTCAATCACTTAAGCCCCGCCCCTCTCAGCCCAACCCCTTTAGGCCACGCCCCTCGAGCCCTTTAAGCCCCGCCCCTTTAAACCCTTGAAGCTCCGCCCATTTTACCCCACGTGTCAATCACTTAAGCCCCGCCCCTTTACGCCCTTGAAGCTCCGCCCCCTTTTGCTCCAACCCTTTTAGCCCCGCCCCTTTTAACCCCTTAAAGCCCCTCCCACTCTACCCCGAGCTGTCAATCACTTAAGCCCCGCCCCTTTAAGCCCTTTGCCGTTTAAGCCCCGCCCCCTTTTCCAAACAAATCCGGATTTTTCGGGACTTTTTTTTTTGGGATAAATTCCTGGAATTTTGGTGGAATTTTTTTCCCGGATTTCAGGGAAATTTTTGGGGAATTTTTGGGGGATTTTGGATAAAAATTTTGGGGTGAATTTTTCCGGAATTTTTCCCGTTTTTTTTTTCCGGAATTTTTTGGGTTTTTTAAGTGAATTTTGGGGATGTTTTTAAAGGAATTTTTTTGGGATATTCCCAAATTTTTTTCAGGGATTTTTTTGGGATGTTTTTAAGGGAATTTTTCCGGAATTCCCGGTGGAAATTTTTTTGGAACGATTTTATGGAATTTTTAATCAAATTTCCGCGACTTTTTGGGTAAAAATTCCATCAAATCCCCAGGAATTCCCTCAGATTTTTCAGGAATTTCCATGAGAATTCCCGAATTCTTTAAAAATCCAAAAAATCCCGAATTTTTTTTTGGCAATTTTGGGGGGAATTCCGTGGATTTTGGGGGATTTCCCGCCAAATTTTCACAAGCCCCGCCCCCTTTTCAGAGCTCTGCGCCTCCCATTGGCTGCAGCTGGAGCAGCCCCGCCCCTACGGACCAATCAGGATCAAGCTCCGCCCACCGCGCCAATAAACCACGCCCACATGACCATATATGGAGTTGGGAGTTTGTTTTCCCGGGGATTTTTTGGAATTTTGGGGGGTTTTGAAGGGAATTTTTTTGGGGAATTTTGGCGGGAATTTTTGGGAATTCGGGGTTCGTTTTTAGGGAATTTTGGGGAATATTTTGGGGGAATTTTGAGGAATTTGGAGCTTTTCTTTTAAGGTTTATTTGGAATTTTTTGGGAATTTCGGGGTCATTTTTAAGGGATTTTGGGGAATTTTAGGGGGAAGATTTTGGCGGGAATTTGGGGTTTATTTTTAAGGAATTTTTGGGAATTTTGGGTTCATTTTTAGGGAAAATTTGGGAAATTTTTATGGAAATTTTTTTGGAATTTTGGGGTTATTTTAAGGGATTTTTGGGAATTTTTTTTTTTATTTTTGGGGGAATTTTTTGGGAATTTTGGATTCAGTTTTAAGGGGAATTTTTAGGGGAATTTTTGGGAATTTTGGGCTAATTTTTAGGGAATTTTTAGGAATTTTTATGGGAAATTTCGGGGGGTTTTTTAAAGGGATTTTGGGGAATTTTTGCGAATTTTGGGTTTATTTTTAAAGGGAATTTTTGGGATTTTTTATGGGAATTTTTAAGGGATTTTTGGGATTTTAGTTGGAAAATTTTGGCGGGAATTTTTGGGAATTCCAGGGTTATTTTTAAGGAGCTTTTGGGAATTTTTATGGGAATTCTTTGGGAATTTTGGGGTTATTTTTAAGGGATTTTAAGGATTTTTTTTGGAATTTTGAAGGTAATTTTTTTGGGAATTTTGTGTTTATTTTTAGGGATTTCTTTGGGAATTTTTATGGGAATTTTTTTGGGGGAATTTCGGGGTTTTAAGGGAAAATTTTGGGGAAATTTTATGGGAATTTTGGGTTTATTTTCAGCGATTTTTTGGGGGGAATTTTTGGGCTTTCGGGAACTTTTGGGAATTTCCCGCCAAATTTAAGAAATTCCAGGACTTTTTTCCCCCCAAAATCCGCTGGGATTCCCCAAGCCCCGCCCACTTCCGGAATAAGCCACGCCCCCTTTCCCCTCCCCGTGTTTTTATTGGCCGCCGATGACGTCATCCAACAGCTGAACCAAGATGGCGGCGTGGGCGGGGTCCAGCGAGGCCATGCCCACCCGGAAGCGCTGAGGGTCGGCCACGCCCATTTTCCGGAGCAGCTCGAGCAGGGATTGGCTGAGAGCTGAAAGGGGGCGGGGCCAAAGGGAGCAAAACCGGAAGTGACAAAAAATGAGGAAAAAGCGGCAAAAAAATCCGGAATTTTTTCCCGAAATTCCCGAATTTTACCCAAATTCCTCCCAAATTTTCCCTAAATAATAAAAATTCCGGGATTTTACCCAGAAAAATCCCGGTTTTCCCGGAAAAAGTCCCAATTTTCCCCCAAATTTCCCCAAATTTTTCCAAATGATCCCAAATTTCTCCCAAATGCTCCCAAAATTCCCAAATTTTCCCCCAAATCCATGAAAAAATCCCAAGTTTTCCCCGAAATTCCATCCAATTTCCCAAAATTCTCATAAATTATCCCAAAATTCCCAAATTTCCCCCAAAAATCCCAATTTTTATCCCAAATCTGTCCCAAACAACCAAAAATTCCCAAATTTTCTGGCTAAAATTCCCATTTTTTTACCAAAAAATGCCCAAAACGATCCAAAATTCCCAAAATCTCCCCAAAATCCCAAATTCTTCCCCCTCTCAACCACGATTTTCCCGTTTCTCCCCTGAATTCCCACAAAAAAATCCCAATTTTTTGTCAATTTTTTCCCCAAATCCTCTTCAAATGACCCCAAAATTCCCAAATTCTCCCAAAATTCCCAATTTTTTTCTCAAAAATCCCAATTTTCCCCCAAAATCCCTCTTAAAAGTCCCAATCTTACCCCAAAATCCCCTTAAAACGACCCCAAAATTCCCGAATTTCCCCCAAATGATCCCAGAATTCCCCCAAAATTCCCAAATTTCCCCGAAATTCCCGGATTTTCCCGAAATTCCCGGATTTTCCTCACCCGGTTCCAGACGGTTCTGGGCCAGGGCGGGGCCGACGCCTCGGACGAGCTCAGGGAGGTGGGGGAGGAGCTGGGGAGGGAAAATCGGGATCAGATTCCAAGAATTTGGGAAAATTGGGAATTCTGGGGATTTTTGGGGAATTTTTTGAATTTTTTGGGAATTTTTTGGGGATTTTTTGGGGAATTTTTTGGGAATTTTTTGGATTTTTTTGGGAATTTTTGGGGGATTTTTTGGGGATTTTTTGGGAATTTTTTTGATTTTTTTGGGAATTTATTGGAATTTTTTGGGAATTTTTTGGAATTTTTTGGGAATTTTTTGGGAATTTTTTGGGTTTTTTTTTTAATTTTTTGGGAATTTTTTGGGGATTTTTTGGAAATTTTTTGGGAATTTTTTGGGAATTTTTTGGGGAATTTTTTTGGGAATTTTTGGGGAATTTTTTGGGAATTTTTGGGAATTTTTTGGATTTTTTTGGGAATTTTTGGGAATTTTTTGGGAATTTTTGGGAGAATTTGAGAGGATTTGGGGAATTTTGGGGAATTTTTTGGGAATTTTTTTGGGAATTTTTTTGACTTTTCGGGGGAATTTTTTTTAATTTTTGGGGAGAATTTTTGGGAATTTGAAGATTTTTTCGGGATTTTTGGGAAATTGTTGGGAGAATTTGAGAGGATTTCGGGAATTTTGGGGGATTTGGGGAATTTTGGGGAAATTTGGGGAATTTTTTTGGCAATTTTTTGGAATTTTTGGGGAGAATTTGTGGGAATTTGGGCATTTCTTGGAGAAGTTCGGGAAATCTTTATGCAAATCCCCCCATTTTTATGAAAATTTCCCCTTAATTTAATGCAAATTTTCTGTGATTTTTATGCAAATTTTCTGAGTTTTATTATGCAAATTTTATGCAAATTTCTGGGGTTTGTGGGCGTGGCTCTCACCCGCTCAGGCCCCGCCCCCAACAGGAAGTTCAGCACCGGCCCCTCCTCCTCCAGATCCTCCTGCAGGGGCAGCGCCCCCAGCACCAGCGGCAGCACCTGCACAGACCAGTATAAACCAGTATAAACCAGTATGGACCGGTATGGACCAGTATAAACCAGTATGGACCAGTATGGAGCAGTATGGACCAGTATAGACCAGTATGAACCAGTATAAACCAGTATGGACCAGTATGGACCGGTATGGACCAGTATGGACCAGTATGGACTGGTATGGACCAGTACGGACCAGTATGGACCAGTACGGACCAGTATAAACCAGTATGGACCAGTATGGACCAGTATGGACCAGTATAAACCAGTACGGACCAATATAAACCAGTATGGACCGGAATAAACCAGTATGGACCAGTGTAAACCAGTATGGACCGGTATGGACCAGTACGGACCAGTATGGACCAGTATGGACGAGTATGGACCAGTACAGACCAATATAAACCAGTATGGACCAGTATAAACCATTATGGACCAGTATGCACCAGTATGGACCAGTACGGACCAGTATAAACCAGTACGAACCAGTATAAACCAGTACGAACCAGTATAAACCAGTATGGACCAATATAAACCAGTATGGACCAATATAAACCAGTACGGGCCAGTATAAACCAATATGGACCGGTATGGACCAGTATAAACCAGTATGGACCAGTATGGACCAGTATGGACCAGTACGGACCACTATGGACCGGTATAAACCAGCAGGACCAGTGTAAACCAGTATGGACCGGTATGGACCAGTATAAACCAGTCCAAACCCTCCCAGTCCCTCCCAGCAACCACCCGGCTCAAACCAGTGCCCTCCCAGTATAAACCAGTATAAACCAGTACAGACCAATAACCCCAAACTCCCTTTTAACCCTTTCTTACCCTCTCCAGACCCCTCCCAGC